CACCTGCCTGGAAAACACAAGGTCCTGAGTTCATTTTCCAGTACAACACAGAGAGAGAGAGAGAGAGAGACAGACAGACAGACAGACAGAGACAGACAGAGACAGAGAGAGACAGAGAGAGACAGAGACAATTTCACCTAACTCCCAACACAAGGGTCCAACCTTCTTTTGTTTCAGCTGCACAATGGGTTTATCTTGAGATACAGATCACAAACTGGCCTTTTGTTTAACCTTACACAATATTTATTTTTTTAAAATTTGGCATTCTCTCAAGGACACAAAAACCCATTAGTGCTCAAGACTTCCCTCACCAGCAAGCTGTGAGCCCCAGCCATGTCCTATCCACAGGGTGTTACTGCACCTATACTGCTTTCAGAAAATGTGTCTACTGTATGAATAAGTATATTTATACAGGGCTTCAGCAGTCCTGCTTTAGTTGGGGTTTGCAAGCCCAACAGAGAACAGAGCCGGAGAACAGAGCCAGCATGGAGACCTGCACTAACCCACTTGCGGTGAGTGCTCGGAATTTGGCCTTCCCAGGACAGGGACTGACTGACTGGATGACATACTGGTATTGGGCAGGATGGGTCTGAACAAGGAATGGCAGTGATTTCAGTTGGCTGCTCCTTGCATAGAGCACATTAGTGGATCTGCTTGGGCTGGGTCACGCCCCTGGTTGCGACCCAATAGCCAGGGATGAAATTGTCCCCAAAGTTGTCCTGAACCAGTTCTGTCCATGTGGCACACATTAACGTGGTGAAGGCCCCCGCTGATTGACTGGCTCAGAGGGGAGAGGTCAGCCTACACCGCCTGGCTTGCACCTCAGTGACCAACAGCAAAACAGAGAGGGCAGAAATCCCTAGCCAGCATGATTTAGAAGAACTAAAACCAATAAGAAAAGGGCTGGGACCTCCACCATACACTGTATGGAAGAAACCAGAAACATGAGAAGAGAAAGAAAGAAGAAAAAGCTTCCAGCCAACCCAGGGAATATGGGGCCAGAAGAGGTAAATACAGAAGAGATCAAGGGCAGCAAACATGCAGTATCAGACACAGCATCAGATGACACAAATATCTTTGTGACATTATAGACAACTCAAAACTGAACTATTAATACAAGTAAAACCAGATATAAGAAGATTAATAAAAGAAATGCTAAGCCCTCTCAAGAAGACACAGGTGGAAGAATGGAGGAACACAAAAAAAGGAGAGAAACCTTCAATGAAGAATATAGAAAAACCTAGAATACATGAAACAGATTCAAAGAGAATATCAGGAAATTGAAAGCTGGCAAAATTGCCTGAAAGAAACTAGAGACAGATTAACAAAACTTGAAAATAGGTTTGCAATGTGTGATCGTGAAAGGAAAGCTCTTAAAAATAACAAGGAAACAGGCAGTAACAATACAAAGGATAGAAGACAAGAGGATCTATAACTTACAAATAAAAAATCTGCATGAATAAGCAGGAATAAACAAAGGAAATACAAAGGCTATTCACAGAAATAATTAAGGAAAACTTCCCAAGCATAGGAAAAGAAAATGATATTCAGATGTATGAGGCATACAGAAATCCAGCCACCTACAACCAAAACAGAGCTACATCCAGAAATGTAATAATCAAGATCTTAGAAATTCATCACAAGAACAAAATATTAAAAGTCATCAGAGAAAAGACACGGATCACCTATAAAGGAAAACCCATCAAAATCATGACAGACTTCTCCACACAAACTATCAAATCAAGAGGAGCTTGGGGCAAAGAAAGAAGCCCTGAAAGAAAATAACCTCCAACCCAGATTGATGTACCCTGAAAAACTATCCCTCAAAATTAATGGGGGAACAAGATGCTTTCATGACAAGAGGAACTGGGGGAGTTCGTGACCACCAATCCAACCCTACAAAAAATACTGAAGGACAGTCTAGAGGGGGAGAAAAAAAACACCAGCATTTCAGGAACAGTGGCAGAGAGGCCTCAATGAGTAAGGCAGACAGTGGAATGAAGGAGAAAAGTAGACAACTAATGGCAGAAAAACAGCATAGCAGAAATGATGCAGAGAAGGTTTGCTATAATCTCTAACACTGATGGCCATGATACACTAACAAAAAGAAACACAGGCAGAGTAGTTCAGGAGATAGGGTCCATCGAGATGCTCTGTATAGGAAATATAATCAACCTGAAAGAGGTTTATGGACTGAAGTCAAATATGAGACAACAACATTCTATGTGACAGGGAACCAGAGAGAAATAGGGGCAGCCTATCCAGTAGCTGCAGAAAGGTTGGAAAGTCATGACATTCTTGTGCAATGGAGAACTACTCACCTATAACGAAGGAAAACCTTGAGGATTTTGTAGATAAAGGAATACAATTTAAGATCAAGCCCAGGGGTACAAAGGCTCAGAACTACTTAAGTAAATAGCAGGTTACACCCCTAACCTAAAGGAGTTAGTGGGACCCAAAATGTACAATGCACCCTGTGTAAGGGGAGGAATTGTCTAAAAACGGAAGGCAGAGAATACTGTTAATAGTGTATCATGATTTAAAATCCATTGTTATTATCACTGTTTAGTTTGGTTATATTCTGCTCCAGTCTGTCTACTTGTACTAGACTTGAGGGCACAGACAGCTATTCCAAAAATAGTAGGATTTACTACAGCAACCATCCTTAATTTCTTAACTTAATCTGAAGCCCTCTATTACTTACACTGTCTTATTATGACTGATCATATTTGAATCTGGTTTGTTAGCTCACTGCTTTGTATTGACTGATTTTATCTGAATCTGATATGATTGATAGTATTAAGTCTGAGAGTATAGGCAAATACTCTGAAGACAACAAGATTCACAAGGATACCCACTCTCGTTAGACTCTTCCTGCTTTTGAAGTCTTATGTCTCCAATGTTTTGTTTTTATTAATATTGTTATGTACTGCTATGTTCAATTATACTATGTCTGATGATATAGACAATTCTATTGAAGGTAACAAGAGACATCATATTAATCATTGCAGATTACCTACTATTGTGGTTTTATAACTTTTTTGTTTCGTGTTTTTCTAGGAATTTGTTTCGTTTTGTCTTGTTTTTCCCTCTAATACAGAAAGGATGGATATACATGTAGAGACTCATGTATGCGTAGAACTTCTAAACAGTTTATATACAGATTATATAATGCATGATGAAATGAACAACTACTTTGAAGAAAAAAGAGACACTACGGTACCCAGTGCTGATTCTGCAGCGTCATGATGTGAAACCCAGCAATATTATTATTCTTTGTTCAGAGTGAATTTAGTCTGCTTTGTTTTGTTTAATTTCAACATACATAAAGATATAGACAGCTATTCGAAGAGAATGAGAGACATGGCATCCATTATTCACTTCCTTATTGTCTGGTCTTGAAGACCTAAAATGCCTTCATCATCCTGTTTGGATCAGTTTTATACCATGTTGTTTTGTATGAATTCACTGTATGTGAAGATATGGACAACTATTCAGAAGAAAACAAGAGACAATATGATACAGTGAAGACCTCTGGTTGTCTTGCTTTGAAATCTCTGTCTCTTACACTGTTTTCTTATGTTCTGGTTTGTTATGTTTAATTTTACCCTCTTTAAAAAAAAAAAGAAATGGAAATGCACTTGAATTTGCCCCAGTGTTTCTGAACTCTATAAAGTCTACAATCTTAAGACAACTATAAACCCTTTAGATTTACTCATGTAATTATGTTTGTTACTGCTACTTAACGTGATTGCATTAAAGCCAAGCCTTCACTCTCCACACCTTTTTAGCTTCGTAGATCTTCAATAAAAATTGGACTTAAAAATTTATTGCTCTTCACTAAACTCCCAAATTGTATATTTTTAAAGCAATTTTATTTTACAGTTTACCTGTCTTCCATCATATAGGAAAGTTAAAGGGTTTCTAGCGAGTATGTCTTAAATACAAGTGCTCATCAAGAGTGCACTTTCACTCTACTGTGCGTGTCCTACCTACTGCACAGCAGTCCTCCTCCATTTGCAGGTTTAATTTATAAATTAAGCATTACTATAGGCATTTTATCACACAAAAAACCTACCACACTTGGCCCTGAATCAAGGCCGGTAGCTTCTTGACCCTGTTGGTTTCAAGCAGGAGCCTAAAGAGATGTCTTTCTATGGTCTGTTGGCCATTTCAGAACTTGGGCAGTGAAATGGTCAATTCATTAGAAAGAAAACAGCTTGAAGTGACCCCTACCCCCGAGGTGAGCGGCTGTGAGCATGGCAGGCTGCAGCAGCCCAGGTCGGGAGCCACCGGTGTCTACGAGAACCCACAGCATGCTGGGACCTGGAGCGCCAGGATACCAAGCAACCATCCCCCACCCCATTTTGTTTTGTTGAACTTCAATATACATGAAAGCATGGACGGCTATTTTGAAGAGAATGAATGACAGCCATTAGTGACTTTCCTACTGTCTGATTTTGAAGACCTAAAACACCTTCCTCATTCTGTTCAGATCAGTTTTATACTATGGTATTTTGTACGAATTCTCTGTATGTGAAGACATGGACAACTATTTGGAAGAAAACAAGAGACAATATGATAGATAGTGAAGATCTCAGGTTGTCTAGTTTTGAAATTTGTATCTTACATTGCTTTCTTATGTCCTATTTTGTTGTTTAATTTTTTACCACCTTTAAAATAAAAACAACAACAACAAAAACCTACCACCAAAAGGTTCAGTGCTACCCAAGATTCCAGGGATCCACTGGGGGTCTCAAAACATACCTCCACAGACCAAGGGAACTGCTGCAACCCTGTTCTTGCTCTTAAGACTGTTAAGTTTTGGGAATAAGAATGTTTACGGCTGGGGCTGGGGATTTAGCTCAGCGGCATAAGCACCTGCCTTGCAAGCAGGCAGTCGTGAGTTCGATCCCCGGTACTGATAAAAATGAAAAAGACAAAAAAAAAAATAAAAAAAAGAATGTTTATGGCAAATCCTGTCCCTCCACACTGCTTACCTGAATATATTTCCTCTGAGTTTCATCATTTAATACATGCGCAACATGCTTGGAAAAAATCTTTTCTCGGCCAGTTCTGGCATGGATACCAACCATGGTGACTCCAATAGGCCAGGGAGCGTTCCCAATGGCCATCTGAAGGTAAGCATCATTTGCCTGAAAGGAAAGTTTAAGAGATCAGAAAGGCAAAAAAACATTGGTTTGGTCTAAACTTTTATGGTAATTTTCATCCACCTCTGGGGCTTGTTGAAAATATTACATCTTGTCATTTGGATAAAAGAGATTAAAGTATGAAGCGATGCCCTGCCTAGGGTCACAAATGCCCATGGAAAAACCGAAGCTGAAGCTGAGTGAAAGGACAGCATCCTGCCCAGCCTTCATGCCAGGAAGCTAACACACTCCACATCTGGGGTTCACAGAAGTCGATGTGTGACACTGACTGAAACTCCAACCCAGGGCTTCTCTGCAGGGAGCCAGAGAGGCTAACCAGCTTTCCAGCCTCCAGCTGGAAACCAGAGCACTCTGCACAGCACTGGGGCCCCTGGAAGCGGGAGGGACTCCGTGTGCGGCAAAGACCACATGGGATCCGTAACAGATGTGTAAACAGAGACTGCATCCTGCCCCAGGAGCCAACAGGTAAGGGGCAACAGTGGTCACTTTTCACTTAGGCCCCCAACTGTCCAGCTGGCCAAACATTAAAATAAAAGTTACAGAAAGAAAAGAGAGACACCAGTGAAAACAAATAGTCTTTTTTCTACGTCAAGTCTGGCTAGCTATGAGGAATGAGGAGAAAACACAGACAGCAAGTGAATTCTAAAAACCTGTAGGGCTGCAGTGCAGGCCTCAAAGAGATCTCAATCTCAAAAATCAAACACCTACATGTGATTGAAATGTAGAGATGATTTCAAAATGTAAGCTATATATACAGGTTAACTAGGAAATAGTTTTCTACCCTAAAGACACATCTAAACTTGCTTTGCTCAACAGAGGGTGGACACACATTTGCATCACTGATTCTCAAGGGTGTGAACTTTAACATTGGACCTGATGAAAGTTCCAACATTCAATTTTCCTAAAATCCCAGAAAGAACTGTCTAAATACATTATTAAAGGTTACTGGTTATTTCTGTGGTTTACACAAAAGCTTTCACTTGGTAATGACACACAGTCCTGAGAAAATAAGACAAAGAAACGGCATGCACTCTGGCAGGCAGGAGACACAAGGCACTTTGTGCAGATACAGGGACCTGACCCAGCCACTCCAAAGCAGTTGGCCTTGGAATCACGCAGCTGACAGAAACTAAGAATGCAGCTTATAACTGTAAAGCAAAAACCCTGTGTTTCTCAGAGAACCAACCAGATCCTACAAGGAGTAAAACTAACAGTGCTCTCACCGCACCAACTACACGTCGCCCATCGTCCCTCGTCCCCTCCAGGGCCCTGCCCTGCCTAGAGCTGCCACGCTGAAACCACCGTCCTGGCCTCTGCAGGCGCACGTCACCCTGCTGCCCCTCTGCTCCTTGGTGCCGGCGTACAGGCCGCAGACAGCCCCTCCACGGCGGCGCTCAGAGCCCTTCCACAGCCGAGCCGCAGCGGCAGGAGGACAGCACCCCACAGGGCTCTGCTAGGGCTATGTCCTGAGACGGAGGAGCCCTGGCTGTTCTCCAGAGACGCCACTGAAGAGCGGTGACCCTCCCCTAGAGCACCGGCACCTGTTCGGCTACACTACTATTAAATGGGCTTTTATAGCTGCTCTGGGAAATGAATCCAGACAACACTGTTTCTAATGGGAAAGTTTGCTTTAAGTCATAACTAACCATTTAGACATTCTGAACTTCAATCCCATCCATAACTGCCTGTACACAGCTTGAATTCTGAAGACTTTCACCTGCTTTAAAAATGACTACAGAATACAACCGCAGACTGAAGCTTTGTCAATGCCTAACAATAATGCTGAGCAAACAACAGGGAATACAATTTTTTCCTGCCAGTTGACTTCACATTTATTCTTACATGTATGAGGAAACACTCTCCTATCCCAAGCAGCACTGTATTAGGCAGGTAACCTAGATAGGCTCATAGCAAATTTCAGTGCATAGTGTAATTAAAAATATACCTTCACATATTCTCTCTGCAACATGAATTTAATAATATCTGTTATTGATTCTTTAATATCAGCAGGAAGATTCTGAAAAAAGAAAGAAAAGCATTAACTGTGGAAGCTACTATACATGCACAGAAACAAATGCCATTTATTCCATGCATATTCCAGATTTCAAAAGTGGTCAACAAACCACGTTCTGGAGCCCTCACCCTTTTGCGGAGTTTTCTGAAAAGTGGTCTGAGGTAGGACTCAGTCTGCTTCTGCGTAGCACTGTTCAGTTTACCCTGCACACTGCGCTTCACGTAATCTTCTCTGGCATTCAGTTCTTTAGCCCAAACACCTAGCAAGAACTGTTGAAAGAACAGGTACATTGAGACCACAACGCCACCTAGTGGTGTAGTTTACCCAGCGACAAACTCCCCTAGACTGTGCATTATATTCCTGGCTCAGGATACCCCATTTACTCAAAAAAGTCCTATCGAATTTCTTACCTATTTGAAATAAGTTTGCAGGGCTTCTTTTCACTTTTACCTATTACATAAAATTCAACCAATATAGACCTATAATCCGTGGTACATCACAGGCACTGTATATTAGAGCATTTAGACTTTCTACTTATGTAGTATAGACAATTCAATTAAAGTTGCCATTAAATCACCCAACTAATGGAGAATGAAGGGAAAACGGGCATAAAAATAACAGATTTACAACCCACTCATTCTCTCCTTAATCCGCCCCAGAAACTGCCCTTGAGGGACGCCTATCCGAGTGCCAGTGAAGGGGTGAAGGTTAAGTAGATGCTCACGGACATGTGAGAGGCTGTCACTCAGAGACAAAGACAACTGTCCCATCCGGTCTCCGTCCATGCCATGTCTTCAAAATGCAAATGGAAGTCAACACATCCCCTGCCTTTAACCTTAGTCTGAACAGTCTGGGAGCAAATCCTGAAGTGCACCTGGGAACTGCTCACACTCTAGCCCACTAAAAAAAGGAACGCTTGGAAGCCAAGACGGAATCAGCCATCACGGCAAACGGGGAGAGCTGTAGAGGAGAAGACAGGAACGGCCTCCCAAGGTGACAAATGTGTTTCCTGATGCACTGCCAATGCGGTTCCATCCCTGCTTCCCTCCTCTCCCGCCTCATTCAACCTTCCGGAACGTTCCACTGCACATCTTCCTAGGGGCTTTCCACAATGAAGAAACCCCTTTGCACCTTGTGTTTATCCTGCTGTTGGGATGCTTTACCATGTGCTCACCTGAGTGAATCAGCTTTCAAGAGAAGTGCTTTGAAAACATAAACGTATGTTTTCTTTCATTAACCACTGCATGCAAACACACACTGATCCCACAAAGCGTGTTCACAAGTATTTATGGAGAAGTCCTTTCCTCCCCGACATTTAACACTTAATAACCTAAAAACACAAGACACACTTTTAGGTGTTCACAACACCCTCCTCTTGCCTTGTGGAAGATGCGTACCTTCAGGAATTTGGTAATGATGTCCATGTCCTTATGGTCATCACCCTTCCCCAAAGACTCTCCGAGGGCCTGAAGAAAAGAAACATTACCTCAACTCATTAGCACAAAGCAACAACTGAATATGAATAAACACCGATCGTACGGCTATGATCGTCACCAGGCTAGACAAAGCTCTTTGTCAAAGACATCATGTGACTTTGATTTAAAAACCTGCTGCAATTTCTAAACAAGCAAGGAAGAAAAAAAGACAAACATGGAACACCACTTACATTTAGAAAGCACGTTGTCTTGTGCATCTGAAGACAAGAGAGGGCAAGGACAGTGACTGTTTGGCTGAAGGGTTATGAAATTTCTTTTGGGAGCCACAAAAATGCTCTAAAATGAGAATGATTTTGTGCCATTCTGGGAACATGTCAAGAATCTACTGAGTGTATACTTTAAGTGGGGAAACTGCTCATGTAGTATGTGACCATCTCAGGAAGGAAGGAAGGAAGGGTCAGTCTAACAACTGGCTGACCACCCAGCTACTTCAGTGAAATGCAGGGACCGCCTGAAGAGGCGATGGGGGGAGAGGGTCAGGATGACACCCTCCTCAACTATGACCTCTCTCTTACAGACTGCTACACCTGCAGGCACCAGAAACTATAGCAAACAGGAAAATAACAGATTTTATTAAACTATGTTTTATTAAGCATTAAAAAAGTTTCAACTATATTCTTTTTATATGCTAGGTACTTACATGATACAACACTGACTTTTAATTAAGATCATACTTATGTCATGGTTTATGTCTGTGGCCCCCAGGCCTCATGCATTTGCACTGTGCATTTGTGAGTGGTTCACTGTCTAGCGCTTGGATTGGGCATGTGAGTGCTACACTGGCCTAGGGGTGTAGCCAGGATGTAATGTAATGGCAGGAAGGTGTGTCTCACTCTCTTTTGCTAGTTTCTGCCTTGCTGTTTGCAGTTGCCAAGAACTGTGGCTCTGCCATGACACTCTGTCTTGGAGCCAACTGAGTATGGACTGAAACCTCCAAAAACTGTAAGAAATCAACCTTTCCTTTCTCAACTTTGGGCTTCAGGTATTTTGTCTCAGCAATGAGTAAAAAGTAACTAAGACAACTTACCATCCCACATTCAACATAGTGGTAAAATTAAAGTAAGATATTGCTGATATAAAGGGATATAAAGGGGGCAAGGATATAAAGATGTAAGCCCCTCACAAGCTACTGGTGGGGGTGTAGACAGGAACAGCCACAACAGAAAGCAACTCAACAGTACTCTGATAAGCTATACACACATGAATGCCCGAACCCTGCAGCTTCAGTCCACAGTGGTTTTATAAGGTTGTTTATCACAAAGCTTGTTGTATTGGGAATACTGAACTGAAAATAATTCAAATGTCCATCATTACTGGGAGACAAAAAGTAAAACAGTGAATGTCACCATGTTTAGCAACTGAAAAAAGAATTAAATGTACCTAGAGCATCCAGTATCGATTTTAAAAACAGAATAAAGCAAAAAAAAAAAAAGGAAAATAAAATGTAAAAAAAATATAAACAAAATAAAAGGTAGATAATAAGAAGTAGGGAGACAGACCTTTACCAAAGGGGAACGGGATTGAGAGATGGAGGGGGAGGGAGGAAGGGGCTGAAACAGGAACTGAGATGCCTACACACATGTGCCAACTCCTCTGAAGGGGTGCGAACATTATTACTATATCAGTGTGCTAAGAAAGATGATCTGAAAAAGAAATAAAGATATCACAGCACTATGGAATTTACATAGATCAAAAATCTATATATATACCACACTGCAGGCTCAACACCAGCAAATAAAACTGTGGGTTCATCACACTGCTATGTTCATCAAACACACAGCCACGGCTACTTCCGAAAGCAAGAAGTAGGGAAATGCAAACAAAGTGAGAAAAAGAATAAACAAAGGCACAGAACAAAGAGGGGCCCGGGCACTGCCCCAAGACGGCAGCACGCTCCGCAGCCAGGCTCCGACAACTCAGACATCTGCTCCGGGGAAAGGTGGCAGGGTGCAGTCGTACCTCTAACTCCTCGATCGTGGTGTTTTCTTCATGGACTTTCAAATCATTCTGTGTGTCTTCCTCTCCAGGTTCCTGACCACCCACAATTTCATTGAGGTACTGCTGATCGATCTTATCCAAAGCTGCTTTGAGATCGTTCCTCAAGCCCTAAGGAAAGCCAAAGAGAAAGAGTACCTTTTTGACAGCATGCTTTGGTTTTTCCTTATAAGAGTTACATTTCATTGTCTCTTTATAAGTAGTTAACAACTTGGCAAAAGTAGGCACTCAAATAATGCATCAGTTTACTATCCTGCCTCTAACACTATCATCACTGCCCACTCCAGTACAATTCCTACAAATACGTCCAAATTAAGGGACTGTGTATGATGCCAGTAGATAGTCAGAAAAATACAACACAGCTGAGTAACAAATCAGTAAGTATCCTCACCAATGCCGAGAATGTCTAATAAACCTCAGCAGGGACTTAATCAGGCCCCACTAAAGTCCATAAACCATTTCCCAGTTCACTTAAAATGTCCAGCCTCATTTCAACTACTCTGAGCCCCAAAAGCATTTACAAATATCAATGGAATAAAGCTGATGTCTCATCTGCATGCTTTCAACTCTGCCTCTGACAAACTGGCAAATCCCACACTCCATGCATACCCATGACTACGTTTTTTTAAAAAAAAGAAGCCTCAGTTTCCTCACCGTGAATGAAAATGGGCTGTGAGGGTGACAAGCCACACACCACAGCTGTGAGAAGACAGCGGTGTTGTGGCCGGTGCGAAAGCTGCTGACCATCTAGATTCACCCCCTGGGGACTATCTGGCTGTGGGACAGCTCCCTTTATCTCCACATGTCTCAAGTGGGAACAACACCATCTACTATGTATGGTTGCCTGGGGAATTCTATTTTTTAAATTTCATTTAACATTTACTGTATATTAGGACTATTTCAAAAGCCTTGCAAATGTAACTCATTTAAATGTTAACGAGTACACAGTGCACTTTCAAAAAGTCGCTCAAGTACAATCAGCAGTCAACAAACGTCAACACTGGATGCTTTCACATTATAAACACATCAGATTGCTTTTTGCTGTCCTTTCATAAACACTCAACTGAAAACGGCTTCAACTGCCAGATGTTGACTGGGGTACTTGTATAATGTGTGAGGCCGGGGGCTGCTCAAGATTATCCCATTTAACCCACACAACATCTCAGAGAACAAACACCACTACCTCTGCTTTACAAATCAGGATTCCAGCCCGAGTAGGTTAAAGACCTGTCAGGTGATTAACACTCAGTCCTGGGGCAGAATCCAGGCCTTTTGGTCCTAGGCTTTTAGGGAAAGCACTCAGAAAAACAAAACAGAAAGATCCATCTCTGCCTGCCAGCCACCGTAGAAGACTTGCTTCCTGTAGGCAGCCAGTGAAAACAGGGACAAGCAGCCAGGAAAGCCCTGTGCACCCCACTTGCATGTCACCACTTAGAGGCCCATGCTTCCTCTGGGGCCATCCTCCACTGGGAGAATCAGACAAACACCCCTGTGTGCCTGCCACCATTGTGGGAGTCCTGATGCAAACACGCAGGCTGAGAAGCAGCCCCACCTCCACATAGCCCTGGTCATCGAGGAAGCTGCACAGGGCTGGAGAAGCCCGCCCCACCTCCCTGTAAACCCAGGGTCACACGAACACAGGTGCCTGCCCCATTCCCCTGTACTCTGGAGAAGCAGTCTAGGTGGGAAGTACCTGGAACCCCACAACCCACTTGTTGGAAGGAACCCAGGAGAATGTCAAGATGAAGGAGCAACCTCAGACCTCCGGCCCATACAGAACAAGTTTGGGAGACCCAGTCATGGGAGAAAATAGAAGTCACACACCTGAAATCTCCAATAGGTTAACAACTGAAATAAAATTCATGAAACCATCAAAATAATTAAACCAGAACTAATGTCTCAGGTAAAAGAAATGAAAAAAATAATGAAAGAATTGCTTAGCACATGTAAAGAATACACAGATAAAAGAGGAGCCCAGGAAAATGATGAAAACCTTGAATGAACAATATAGAAAGGAATTACAATGCATGAAACAGATTCAAAAAGATAACCAGGAAACTGGAAAGTCAGATCAAACGCTGGCAAAACCAGACTGAAGATAGACTTTAAGACCTTGAAGACAGGACCGCAGCTAGCAATCGTGAATGGAAAGATCTTTTAAAAATAACAAGGAACAGGGAAATAACAATTCAACAGCTGCAAGACGATCCAAAGAGAAATAATTTAAGAGTGATAGGTATCAGTGAAGAAGCAGGGGTCAACACAAATGAAATTAAAGGGATATTTACAGAAGTAATAGAAGAAAATTTCCCAAACATGGGAAATGGATCTGGTATACAGAAAAGTGAGACATACAGAACTCCAACGAGCCATAACCAAAGGAAATCTACACCTAGACATATAATGATCAGGATCCCAGAATTTCAGCACAAGAACAGAATATTAAAAGCTGTTATAGAAAAGAAACAGATCACCTATAAAGGAAAACTAATCAAAATCACTGCAGACTTGTCAATAGAAACCATCAAGTCAAGAAGAGTTTGGAGTGAAGTGTTTCAAATCCTGAAAGAAAACAACGTCCAATCCCAGATTGATGTACCTTGCAAAACTATCTTTCAAAATTGATGGAAAAATAAGATACTTCCATGATAAAGAACAACTGAAGGAATCCATGACCACCAAATCAGCCCTACATAGAGTGCTAAAGGATATTCTAGCAAGAGATAAAGATGACATGGTTCCAGAAACAGCACAGAGGAGGATCAGGCAATTGAATGAAGGGGAAGAGTGGAGGGCCAACACCAGAAAGCGAGCACGGCAGAGACAAACCAATGTATGATAGTTGTAACCATTAATGTAGATGGCCTCAGATCAACAATAAAAAGAAACACAGGGAGAGTGGATCAAGAAACAAGATCCATTGAGATACCGTATACAACAACCACATTTAACTCAAGAGGAAATTCATAGACTGAAAATCAAGGAGAGAAAACAATTGTTCCATGTGACAAGCAACCAGAAAAAAGCAAGGGTAACTTGCCCATCAACCACTGAATGGATAAGAAATACATGGTATTTTCATACGATGGAAAGTTACCGAGCTATAAAGTAGAATAATCTCCAGATTCTTGTAAGTAAATGGCTACAACTGGAGGTCATGTTCATGGGCAAAACAGTTTGCACTCATAAAAGTAAACACTAACATAAAAAACAGGAGTTAGTGAAATCCAAAAACACAGTAGATGTTATAAAAGTGATAGGGGAGGAAATACCTGGGAGGAGAAGATGGTAAGCAATGTTACTTTTATCGTCTTGTCTTTAACTCCTGTAATGTTTTCACAACCATGTTAGGTTTGGTTCTGTTCTGTCTTGTTTTGTTAAGATTTTACTGTATCTGATGGTATAGGCAGCTATTTTGAACATAATGGGATATATTATGGTAATCATGATTGGTTTATTATCTTGTTTTGAAGTCCTATAATACTTTCATTCTTTTAATTGGTTTTGTTTTGTTTTATTATGTATGATGGTATGAATAGCTACTTTGAAGAAAAGAGACATTATAGTAACCACTGTTCATTTCCTGTTATCTGGTTTTGAAGTAATGGAATGCTTTTATTCTTTTGTTTTGATAGGTTTTAGTCTTTCTATTATTTGATTTCATTATGTATGAGGGTATGGACAGCTATTTTGAAGAAAACAAGAAACATCATGGTACCCACTGTTGATTTCCTACTGTCCTGTTTTGAAGTCCCGTAATGCTTTCATTCTTTCGTTTTGATGGGTTTTATACTACTTTGTTTTATTTTATTGTATTGTGTGTGAAGGAATGGACAATTATTTTGAAGAAAACAAGAGACATTATGGTAGCCACTGTTGAATTCCTTTTGCCTTGTTTAAAGTCCTGCATTGCTTACATTGTTGTCCTGATTTGCTTTGTTATTTTGTTTTGTTTTTATTCTCTTTAAAATAAAAAGAAAAGAAAAAAAAAAAAAAAAAACAGAACAGAAAAACCAAACAGCCCCAGTCCACCAGGATGAGATAAATATGTACAGGCTAAAGTTTATTACTGGCACACAGAAAAGGAAGCAAGTAATTCTGACAGGGACTGTGGATAGATGAGGGACGATGTCATCATTGAATTGTGTCTGAAGGGGCAAGTAACAGACTGCAACCAAGCCCAGAAGAGAGAATCTCGGGCACAGGAAAGTGATCCTTACACACACAGATGACTAAAAACCATTCAGGCAACTGTCAGTGCCACAGGACCAGAACCACAAGGCTAGAATTGAAGCAGGAAAGCAGTTTGCCCACAAACGAAGCAAGCAGTCAGGAAAGCAAGCTAGCCAACAAAACATGTGCAGAAGAGATGCCTAGGCCAGCCCCAGCCATGCCAGCTGTTTTAGCAGAGAAGCCTGGCACCATCTGAGAGGATTCGTCCAGGGAGTCACGAAGTGACATCAGCCACATCCTGACACAATCAGATGGAAGACGCCAAGCAAAAGACAGCCTAGCTTAACTAAATCAAACCACAAAACTATCTGAGATGTATTATGGTTGATATGTTGTGTCAACTTGAAAGCTTCAGAAATTTAATTAAGTGGTCAAAGAGGGTGGGGGTGGCCATTGCCAGGGTCCTTGCTTTGTAATATCCTCAGTTTGTACAAGAGGAGGGCATTCAGATGGTGTGAATGCTATACTCATGTGAGTAGGGGAGGGTAATCTGTTTACAATATAGAGGAGAAGAGGTTTGGTCTTCCCCACCTTTTGTTCTGGCTACTTTTGCTGGCTGCTACCTTGAAGTGTTGCCCTTGTGCCATGCCACCCTGCCTTGAAGCCATAATCAGGCCAGCTGATTATGAAGTAAAACCTCCACAAACAGTGAGCTAAATAAACCTTTCCTTCCTTCATTTTGGGTGTTGAGTATTTTGTCCCATCAACAAGATAAAAGTAACCAAGATAAGATGATACACCATCTCAAACTACCACATTTCATGGTGATTTGTTACAGTCAGAGACAAAAAGAATTCACATTAATGGACTGTTTAATATGATTAAGAATTGAGGTAGTCTGTTACACAGCCACACATAACCATACCCATTTCTCAGTAATTGATACAGCAATTAGAGACCACAGAAGATTTGGAAAAACTATCATAATTGACATTTGTAGAACTATATAACCAAAAATATATTTTACTCAAGAGCCCATGGAATAGACCACATACTGAGCCATAAAAACAGGGTCAAAGCCTCCATGTAAAAGCTAAACTATGAAGCTTCTAAAAGAAGCATAAGAAATTTCTTAGAGGCCTTGGGAAAGGAAAATTTAAAAAGCAACAACCATAAGAGGAAAAGCTAGTGAACTGAATTTCATCAAAATTTAAAACTGCTCAGCAAAAGATTTCATTGAGAGAATATGCCACAAAGAGAAAACATTCAGAGACAGATCTGTTACCTGACAAAAGATGTAATCCAGAATACACAAAGAACTTCTAAATTCATTCACAAAAAGGTAACAATCCAATTACATAAAACAAACAGTGGTACATTCACATAATTGAGTATCACAGAGCAACGAAAAGGAAACCATGAAGTCCACAATAGCTTGGATAAAGTTAACCAATGTTATATTGAGCAAAAACAGGCACAGCACCCCAGTTATGAGAACCAGCCAAATTCATCAGTGGTGACAGAATTCACAACGGCAGCTGCCGCGGGGTGAGGAGGACCGTGGGAACTGGCCAGGAAGGACGCCGGGGGCTTCTGAGGCAATGAGAACCTCCTGTGTCTGCTAAGGGTGGTGTGCGTATTTGTCAAAATGTGCTGAATTGTATGATTACGATACATACATTTTTCTTAAAGAAATCTTACCTTCAGCAGCAGTAAAGTAACTATTTTTCCATTTTTGCCTGTAATAATGCCATCCATCAAATTCCAGACTATTCCAGTTTATGTGGTGTCGTGTATTTTTCTAGTTCTGGTTTGCCTTCTTACCTTGTTAACTTCTGGTGTGAGGATTTCTATTTTTCTTAATCGTTGAAAAGCATCATAATCAGTTTCTCCAAACAGTCTAATTGGTTCTCCTCTTTCTCTCAATCTTCTGATTACCTATAAAGAGAAACAAATGTCCAATAAATTAACTTTTGAAGAAAAAAAAACTAAACATCTTAAAACACTCTGCGTATTTTACCTTAATACTAAAACATGAGTTTAAAAAAAACTGACAATCAAATACATGCTTCTAAGTGAAATCTATAATTCTTCAGGTATTTTAGTCATTTCAGTTAGATGTCTGTGAATGAATGAAAATAATTTAGTTACAAGTCTATTTTGACACAGATGTCACTGTTACAAATTTTATTACTAGAAGTGCTCTGACACAGATCTACAGTTCAGTGCTAAAGCAAGCCTGTAATAGAAGCCATCCAGGTTTCTGTAAGACATGAACACAAGCACATTCAACCTTACCTGTAAGAAAGTAAGAAAACGGCCCTCACTGTCCATAATGATAACTCTTAGTCTCTTAAAAAGGCAGAGCAAGAAAACAGTTACCCCTCACACTAACACATTAGTTTAGGTGACCAAATACTAGTCTTCAAACACTGTGCCAAAAGTAAGTTCTGTTTGGTTTTGCTTAATTTTTCATAAACAAATAGGCTACGTTGTGATCACATCCAAACCACCTCAACACTTCAGGTTCTCTGGCTGCCTGTTTCAGGTGGAGCAATCTGTGCAGCAGAATACGCAGGAATAACAGCACTATGGTGGGGTAAAGGACAGCGAGGGTCTAAAGAAGGAACATGAACTCTGGAGCTGGCTGCTAACTCCATGATCGTGTACGCAGAGCAGGCACTGCAGTAGTACAGCGAAACCCAAACCTCGTGCCTCAGAAGCGAGAGTTCTGACTGAGGGAGTCGTCTCCGAGGCTCCTGAGGTGTAGACTTGATTTCACGGTTGGATGATAGTTGTATGGGTCTCTGTTTTGTAATTATCCTTTACACCGCAGTGTTTTATACGCTTTTAATATACATGCTGTATTTCATTTTAAAGAGGAGAAACAATATAATTATGAAAATTAAAGTTGATCCAAATTTTTTAAAATTTAAGAACTTTTATCTGGAAGATCTGTCCCCCCTGGGTTAATAATAAGTTAAGATTAAGAAAGAAATTTAGGAGGTCATCCAGTACTACCTCCAATCATGTAGAAATGACCTCAAAACATCAGGTCCCTAGCTGATTTGTAACGGGTACCATGTCTCTTTGTGAAACACCCACCCCATTTTGGACAGGATGTGTTGCTCCTCGATGCTGAAATTGACCTTGGATTCCTGCCCGTTTTCCTTCTACCCTGTGTCACAACAGAGGACATTCAACGCTTTCCCAAAACCAGGGCTGTCTTCACTGAGCTCTTGAAAGACATCTGTACAATTTTTCTTTTTAGGGTAAGTATTTCAGATTCCTTCACCACCTAATTTTTATAGGTAGCTTCTAGAGTCAGGCATCTTTCCTCTGAAAGGGTTCTCTCTGCAACATTCCTTCTAAAAATGTGCAACACAGTGCCCAAAACAAAGCTGCAAGTGTGCTAATCTGTGAGAAGCAAGAGTACCAGCCTTCTGACCTAGATGCTGTACCTGCAGTATTAATGTTCATTCCTACGGACAACCAGATATGCAGACAAAGACTAAGGATGACAAACTGAGAGAGCCAATGAAAAAGGATAAGAACTGAAACAGAGAGACTGAGACAGACAGAGAGAGAAAGAGAAGGACAGAAGGAGACAGGAAACATTTGTTAGTGCCTCAAAACACTGCTTAAAATTGGGGGCTATTAATACAGTAACTAAACTGAGTTATGAGAATTATGTAATGTGTTCTCATATATCAGTTTAAACGGCTAATTCTCATCTAGGTGGGGTTATAAGATAGTGGTTCAGCTTTCTGGCAAGATTATAAACTATCTGAACTCAAAATATGCAAGGATTCTATTATTCTAAATTTTAAATACATAAATAGATACAAAAAAGGTGATGCAGACAACAAAAGGGTCAAGTGAAAACTTGAGCCTCTGAGTTCCCTTTTACCATGTCGACAGAATTTCCTTAGTGAGAGAAGAAGCTCCCACTTCCCACCTTATAGGACATCCAGCTATTAATATCCAACAATGAGTAATGAGCAGAACCCGTAAGATCAACTACTTAAAAGTACTTTGCCTTTTAATCCAAACTTCACAACGTTTAGACAGGTACATAAAGCAAACTGTAAAATAGTTTTTTAATATAACATTTTGATAAAATTATAAAATACATGAGTGACATGAGATTTTAAATTTCTCTAATTTTGCAATTTAATACATGTTCATTTTAGCCATGGAATTAATAAAAACATAAAGAAAAACCCTATAAAGAAAGAGTTCATACAGGAGGGGAAACACTAACATACTTTAACCTCTAGGGTTAGGTAAAATGTTTCTAAGCAAGGCACCCAAGCCACACACATGATAAAGACAGGTATCCAATAAATCACATAAAACCTGAAACTTATGCACGTAAGAAGTGAAGGGCAGACTGGTGAAAATATGCACATCTGAGATATAGGTTAAAACTTTCATCACACAGATGTGCTGCTTACCAATCAGAAAAGGCACCAACTTAACAACAGAGCGAGAGCTACTCTCAAAGACTAATGACGACCGAGCACTCGACAGCATATCGATTCTAGTCTTCAATAAGAGAAAGCTGCAAGTTAAGACAAGGTTCTTTCTCTCACAGATCCGTGTAGCAAAAAAACTTAAATATTGCTTTTTGACTGACCAATGCCAAAGCACTTTAAAATAGTGACTGAGGCTGGCAAATGGTACTTCTGACATGGTCAAAAGTCAAGTGGATATACTGTAGGATCAGAGTGAATAAACGGACTTTTGACTGACTATGGCACCGCTTAGCTATACCTCAGCCCCTTTTAAACTGTATTTCTGAGGCAAGATTTCACTAAATTGCTCAGACTAACCCTGAACTTGCGATCCTCCTGTCTCAGCTTTCTGAATAGCTGGGATTACCAACATGCACCACTGTGCCCAGTTACTCAGAAATTCCTTTTTCTACAAAACTGTCTCATTAATAAACCTGGACAAATACATGGAGATATGTGAAAGGATGTTCCCTATACAGAGCATTATTTGTAACAATAAGCAGTGAAGAACAACACATATCCATCAATAAAGGGCTAGTGAGCCACAATACTACTCACAACACATTACCTACCACTACTATTCTCTATGTATTACCTTCATGGATTTCCTCATTTAGCCATAGAAACCTCATGAGGCAGACGCTGCTATTCTCCCATCCCATAAAAGGAAACCACAAGTTAGAAAGGCTGGGTCACTTGCCCAAAGTCACATATTTACTGGTAAAAAAATTTTCACATGCAGTACAAACATACATATCTCCAACACAAAACCATCAAAGAACTGGGTTTCTTCAGTGAAGAAAGCGTGGTTTCCTTCATGCGAGAGGGAAGCAGACATATACACACTTGCAAGCTGAGAATACGAACATGAGGGCGGGGAGTGGGTCAGAAGCGGGGAGACGATGCTGTTTTACACCCTTGTACACAGCCTGAGTTCTTTCTAGCACATGACGTTTTTTTTTTTTTTTTGGTACCGGAAATCAAATGCACGACCTAGCACTTATCAGACAGGTACTTTATGCCACTGAGCTTTTCCCCGGCCCCCACATTTTAACTTTTTAAATAACAACTAACATTGATCAGGATACGTAAATTTAATTATATTTACTTAGAGCACATGTATTTATAGAGATTTATGACACAGTGTTTCTGAAAAGTAGAATAGTACTACCAAGCAAAGAAGCAGAGATTGACTTAGATCATGGAGAAAACCGTCTTCGGTGCACAGGTCACTTCCTACAGGAAATAATGACACATCAGTCACATACTGGGGAGATTTTTCCTTTCTCCCACAAAATACTCATACATAAACTTACCTCTTGCCTAGAAAGAGTCATGGGTAATTTTTCTTCTGCCAGTTCAAGTTCTAATACTGGATTTGATGAAGTTAGTGGTTTCTGGTCCTCCTCTTTGGGCTGTATCTGTATTAATACCCAAAATAAGTAAAATTCAGCTTTTGGAGTTAGTATTTGTCATTCTATTGCCTTAGCTAAACAATAAAATACAGCAGGTCCTTTTAACATTCCTGAGGAAAAGCTCCTAAGAAATGTGCGCACTCTGGTGAGGTATCAAACATCCACTTCAGCAACATCCCGAGTAGGAAGCATGCACATGGGAGGCAGAGCTTTGTTGCAAAAGAGTGATACCACTGTATCGGCTTCCAAAGTCCAAACTCAGCAGTGCTAACATCTCACTCACTTCCTCCCCAGGTTCTGAGGGTATGCAGTCTTTTCTTTAAAACAATTTGCTTCTCTTCGAGAAACTGTCTTATGGAAACTGACTGGTGCTCAGCTTTAAAATGAAAACTAAAGAAATGAACCGCTTTCCAACCAAAGTCTGTGAAGCTTGCAGCTCCGGCTTTCCCCTCTTTTTCTTTCTGCAAGGTATCCAATGGTGGAGAAGTCACTACTGGACCAGCAGAAAAATCCCCAATGCTGTGCAGAGCTGGCCCACCAACAGAGCCACAAATCTGGTAGAAATACAATCGAAAACACCTCTCTATACAACCCACCCAAGGAACAAGCAGGCATTCTTGTCCAGATGAACCTGGAGATGGTGTTCTCATATTTTCTCAAATCTTCTGATAAAGCTGCAATTTATAAACCAGCACATGATCTGTAAAACATACTGATCAGTCTCTCATCTACTCAAGGCAAATCTGAAACGCGCAGTGGGTAACAGTCAAAGGAACATTAAAAGGTCAACCTCAAGAAAAACACATTCGATTAAAGAAACTACAGAATAAAAATTACGTAACTCATGACTCTGTGTCTAAAGGTTGTATTATCACAGCCACAGACACTGAGGTAAAATGAGTAGGACACTTACTTCCACGTTTCCACAGGCCAAATCAGCACTGAGCCTTAAAAAGAGTAACAACTAGTACCCAGGAATAAAAGAGGTGAAAGCAATGCATAGGATACCGTCACTGCCACCAAGAAAGATGTATTAAAAACAGTTTTAGAAAGGAAGACCTGTGCTTCGTCTCACACACAGGTTATTTCCCCAAAACTTCAAGGAGAAAGCATTTTAGTTTATATAAAGATAGGCAATGGCTCTGGGAAAAGAGACTTTGTCGGCTGGACTCAAAAGTCCCAAGCAATATGATCATAGTCAAACAGGGGCCCTGATTGTACCAGACACGAGATACCACAGAACTGCTCCTCTGCCACATTTTCCTACCTTCTCAAAAAGCTACAAAAAGATTCGAATTCAAAGAACTGAACATACAAGTCAGCACACTCGTTTACGGTAATGATCCTTATTCTAGGGCACGCTTGAGCTAGACAATATTGGGGGAGCAAAAAATGAGAATTCTAGAGGGAGCAATGGCCACACCTATAACCTCAGCTATCCAAGAGGCGGAGGCAGCAGGGCTGTAAGCCCAAGGCCTGCTGGGCAAATGAGGCAGACTGTATCTCCACATTAAGTAGAGACTCTGGACTGGGGTACAATTCAGCACTCTCTGGACTCACTCCGCAGTGTCTCTGTCCAAACACACATAATCACTTCCATCAGTAAGCAAAGGAAGAAAAAGGGCATAAAGAACTAAACTGGGGAATCAAACAGAGAAGGGAACTGGGAACAGTAAGAAGTCTCCTAAGTATCTACTCAGTGGCTATTTACTTAAACTTATTTCAATTTCCTGAAATAGAAGTCAATGACATTGGCATTTTCATCATGGAAAAATATCAAGTACAAAGACACGCTTCCACATTTACAAAGCCTACCAGAAGTATAACGACATTCTCCCTCAATCCTTGTCTCACCCAACGCTACCAAGTAAAGCCAAGTGCACACAGGCGCCGTTTGCATTCCTCATGCTCCCTCAGAAAAGCTGTCCCGGAGGTTAATCTCCACAAGGTCACATGCACTGACCTTTCACAAGCAAAATGTCAATTTCAAATTTGAGTTAGAAAAAAGTATTTCAAAAGAACCTCTTAACTGTGAGTTAAAATTATTCAACTTGTCTTCATTTAAAATAACTTCAATGTAACTTCTCCACCTCCTCACCTTTAACCCCTTCCAATAAAAATTCCAGTACATTGTCAACTAGGTAATCTCAAAAATATTTTCAGTTATGCTTCCAAAATATGCAAGGAAAGCTTTTCAGAAATCTCACTTGTTTCTAAATGGTATTTCACAATTAATTTCCTATCTAGTAGACTAAGCAGTAACCCTAACCCTAACCTTATTACAACAAAAGCAGGTAAGTGTATGTGGGGCACGTTCAGAACTACTCTGTTAGGGGCCAGAAGGATTATTAACAATGCAAACATAAATTCATGGCTCTGATATTCAGGAGAAAGCAGGGGAAGAACTACCACTGCTGACATCACTGACATGGAACAATCTGTAACAAGAATTTCTGAATTCTTTGGAAACAGTTTTATTGGGAGAGGTGGGGACAAGGAGCCGTGGAGCAGACGACATAAGACAGTCTAAAATCCAGGATTTAAATATATATATTAAAAAAATTCAAGCTTTCATCTCAAGCCACTTCATGCTGTCCACAAAAGCCAAACCATTCCAAGCCAAAAGTCATGCATGTATATTCCTGAATTCAAAAATCATTTTTTAAAAAAGCAAAAATTAAAAAATCATACCTCTCCAGATGGCTTCTCACTTATAGGCTAATATATAACATTGATAAATTGAACAGAGATCAATAATTTTGTCCTTTAACAATAGCTGTATAAATTTAAACGCAGAAATATACAATTCAACTTAAAAGCTGACATTCATACCTTATAGCCACATCTTTCAAAATATGCTTCTTCTTCTTTCTTTGCAAGTTCACTGCGTTTGAAATATTTTTTATTTTCCTAATAAAGAAAAAATAAGTTAACATAAAACTAAGAAAATTTTCATGTTCCACAGTATCAAGTGCTTTTAGAAACACTCAGTGTTTCGGGATTCCTAAAATGGTCACACAGTTACTTATAACAGGCCACTTCTCCTCCGGAGAGCCTGGGCTCTGGTGTGTGCAGGAGCCAAGGAGCAAAGACTCTCCAGATGAACAGGCAAATCTGCCTGTCCCCAAACCCACGGAGCGGGCCAGTTCCAGGCTGCAGACCCCCATCACTTGGTTACAGCCACATATGGCCCTACGCAGACCCCGGTCACAAAGCCCCATAGTCCAGCTACCCACCACTTCTCTGCCCACGGTGCTAGGGAAGGAGCCTCAGACTCCCCAGCCCTGGGCCATTCTGGCTGTTCCCTCCCCTCCAGGGGACTTGCACTGAGCCCAGGGCAGAGGCAGGGTGGGCCAGGGAGGGAGAGAGCAGCTGCCCGTGAAAACGAGAGTAAGCACAGCAGAGCAGGACAGAGCTGGGCTCCAGAGGCTGCCAGGGCCTCAAACCCGCTACTGCCAGAGGCCCGAACCATGGCTCCAAGGAGCTGTGTCCACAGTAATGAAAAGAAACCAACACAGCGTTTTTAAATTTCCTAATGTCTGAGCTCAAAGACAATTTCTATAAATAGATTCATTATGAACCACATAAAATGCTATGCTTTAATACCCTCTTAATATAAAGTATGTTTAAATTCTTTTTTCTCACCTGGAATCTTAGCATATGTATGATTTGATGCTAAGAGCACTAAATCTACTTTCATATATTCTGACTGTGAAATGTACAACCTAATTTTTTTTTTTTTCCTTTTTATCGGTACCGGGGATCGAACTCATGACTGCCTGCTTGCAAGGCAGGTGCTTATGCCTGCTGAGCTAAATCCCCAGCCCCTGTACAACCTAATTTATAAGCCTGTTACTCTCTGCAGCTCTACCTGGCAATACTAATCCATTGAGAACTTCACTCAAAAACAGATACTTCCCTACTTTATGGTAATTGTAGCAGGGCCTCAATACCTCCACATGTGCTTTTATTTTTAATGGAGACAGGGTCTTGCTATAGCCTTCAGATAGGCCTTGAACTCACTATGTGTCCTAGGCTGGCCTCGAACTCCCAGTGATCCCTCTGCTTCAACCTCTCCAGTGCTGGGATTACAGGAGTGTGCCACCACACCCAGCTATGTGTACAGTATTAAAAGCACCCCATGGCTCCAAAGCTCCCTTTCTCAGGCAACGATCATCAGTGAATGCCAGCATTATTAAAAGAAAGGTTTGATGGTGACAAGGGAAAGCTTAGGTTGCCAACACTGAAGCTGGCTAATCAAGGCTGGCATTAGTAAGGGGAGAAGAGCCCTAAGTGACGCCACAGGAAGTAGTCTTCTCCCAACATGGAGGCACTAGCAGTGACGGTGAACCATCCAGGTTTCAGTGTACAAACATCCTGCTGTGGTATGCACAGTGGCACCACTGGGCCAGGGTGATAAGCTACCTGGCAACAATGAGAAGAAATCTAACGAAAACAGGACCCTCTACAAACTGGTCCCCACTTCCTCCAGCAAGTAAATGTATGGAGAAAAAGGAGGAGACGGAGGAATAAAAATGTTCTCCACTAAAAAGCCATTATAGTCATAATGAGCAAATGAAATTCATCAATTTTCTTCGGATTTTATCTGACCAAAACAAGTGTAAAAACATATGTGCATATATTTTAATTCAAGGATTCAGAATGTGAACCTAATGAGATTACCAAAGTAATTTCAGTTTTGTTGGGTGTGAGCAATATAACATGCATCAAGGCCAGCCTGAACTGCATAAGACGATCTCAAAAAGAAAAAAAAAAGGGTCCTTATTTTAGCATTACCTATATTAGGAGAAGGTTATACAGGAGTTCATTATACAATTCTATTTTTGTGTATGTTGGAAACTTTCAGAAAAAGTGAATAAGGGAGGAGAGAAAAAAGAAAAGTAATAAAAAAATAAAGCAGTGACGGTAGTATTCTTTCCATTATCTGACTTTATATGATTCTTAAACTACTATTCACACTGCGTATCAAATAAAAAACTGACCAAACTTCTAAAACTGATTTTTTATACAAAAATAAATTTTCAGAAGATAATGCAAGAAAATATCTTTGTGATTTACTCAAATGAGTATCTAGAAGCAGGAAAGCCAATCACATGGTAGGTGTTGGCTTAACGTTTAAGAAAACGTCAACTGATTATATTCTATACTTGAAATTCTCAAACAGGACACAAAATGCTAACTATAGAAAATTGCACAGACAGCTTGGTCAAAATTAAACACTTCTGCTCTTCAAAAGATATGCTCAAGAAGATGAACAGAAAACCCATCATCTAGATCACAGTCACAAAACATGTTTCTGACAAAGAACTGATATGTAAGATACACAAAGATTTCCTTCACTTTAATAAGCAAAAAGCAACTAACCAATGTTAACAGTTCACAAAGATACAAAAACAGCCAAGAACCACAGGCAAAATGTTTATTAATCTCATTTATTATCAACAAGATGCAAATTCAAACCACAGTGAGATGTCTGCCACCGAAGGGAAGAAGACACAAATTTCTGTCAAGGATGCAGAGCAAGCCGACCCTTGCGTTGCTGGATGATGTGCAACAGGGTGCAGCTGTTTTAGAAAATGGGCACTGGCCAATCGGAACCAGCACCCTGCGCCGCGGCCACTGCCAGACTGGGAACAGGCAGACCCAAGCCCCTTCCAGAGCACAGTCAATCAAGTACTCATCCAAGTACTCACCCACTCCCCAAGTGACCAGCTGATCCGGAGAAACAGGCTGTGATGAGAGCCGTGGAGGTGAAATGCGATTGGATGCCTGTGGTGCTCTGGTGTTTCACTAAGATTGCAGGTCTAGGCCAGTGGTCTGATCGTGGGTTCAGAGGATAGCGGTAAGCAGTGTGACATCTGGGGGGTGATCTCCTTCTGAGGGCTGCAGCCATTGCTGATTCCCTATGGTCTTGTTTTGGAGTCCTATATTGTTCCTATTGTTTTGTTGGGTTGGGTTTTATTCTCTTTTGTTTTGTTTGATTATGTTAAAGCCAAAGGCAGGAGCAGCTATTTCAAAGATAGCAAGATATATGTATGGTAGCAACTTCAGATTTACTATTGGCTTGGTTTTTTTTTTTCATTTTTATCGGTACCTAAGATCAAACTCACGACCGCCTGCTTGCAAGGCAGGTGCTTATGCCGCTGAGCTAAATCCCCAGCCCCTATTGGCTTGTTTTGAAATCTTTTATTGCATTTACTGTTTTGTGTTTATCATTTCTATTTTATTGTTCTGTTTGATTTTTACTATATCTGAACTTATCTGCAGCTATTTTGAAGACATCAAAAAGCAATTCACTAACTATTGTTGATTTTATAATGTTTTGAAGTCCTGTATCTCTTATACTGGTTTGTTTTGGTTTTATTATTTTATCCTCTTTAAAATAAAAAAAAAAAATGGGGACTGGGAAACTTTAGAAAACTTAGTACATGTAGTCTATGACCCAGCAATTCTAAAGAAAAATGAACGATGTGTGAATACCGAATAGTTTCCCTAATGTAAATAATGATTCAAATATATAAAAATATGTGGTAATCATGATTCCCCATTAGGTGGCCTTAAAGCCTTATAAAGTTTTCACTCATTAATTAGAAAGGCTTTATTCTGGGCTTCTTGATATGAAAATATTTGAAGCTAGAGTACATGAAGTTTTATCCAAATATTTCAAGGAAAAAGACACTATGGTAACTACTATTAAGTCAGGTTATAAGCTGGTGAAGTACTAGGTTGTTGAAACAGTCATGCTGTGACCTCTATTTTTATATTGTTATGTCCTGTTTTATCTCAATCTCCCCCTTATTGTTTCAAAAAAAATTATTTAGTCATTTCTTATGTTTGTCTTAATTAAAGAAAAAATTCAAAAAATTAGCATATATAAATAGTAACTCTTTTCGATTTCCTATTAACTTGTTTTGAAGTCCTGTAGTACTCCCACGATCTTGTTTTGACTGATTAGACTCTGTTCCATTCTATATGATAGTATCAAGTTTGAAGACATAGGCAACTACTTTGAAGACAATAAGATTCACTAAGATACCATTCTGGTTTGACTATTGTCTTCTTTGGAAGTCCTGTAATGTTTACAATGCCTAAGTTTTATTGGTCTTGTTCTCTACTGTTTTGTCCAACTTTATAATATCTAATAAGATAGACAATTCTTTTTAAGGAAACAAGGGACAACGTTGATAACCATTGTTGATAAACTTGTACTCTGTTCTACACCATGTGCTATGTCTATCCTTGGTATTGACTGACAGCTTTGTTTTGCCATATTTGACTGTATTCTCCCCCCCCCCCCAAAGAAAGTAATAAGCACTAAGGAGTAATAAAATCCAAGATGTGTAAATTTTGCTGTAAAAAAGAGAGGGAAAAAAAAAAAGCTCTAACGGATATAACAGCAAGTGTGTTTGGGGGTGTTAAATAGCTGACTTTATCAATGTTTTTGGAACATTGAACACAGCTGTTTGCAGTCTCCCTGTTTGAATGTCCACCTTGTGTTCTTTGATACTGTGATTTGAGGAACTATTTTCAAGAAGATAGTGTGTAATCTACTAGCAGGTAATTTCTTACTGTTATGTTTTTTTGTTTTGTTTTGTTTTGTTTTGTTTTGT